CAATTGCCAAAATCCTCAAAAATAATTGCGTCTGACTCAATTATTTTATATATTTTAATAGTGACTCAATTAATTGCATCAAATAATTGTGTCAATTGCATCAAGGATCTACCTATTTCTACCACATGTATAGTCTACTAAGTACTAACATGTATTCCTATCAGACATCCCCAACAAAAATGGATTAACAGGTTAGGTGGTTTAAACTGATAGCAGGATTTCCACCTTATGTATAATCCCACCTGACATGTAGGCCCCCTTCAAGATATACAGTTCGCATAGTTGGATTATATAAATTGCAATAGGCTACAATTAATTTGTACTATGTATAAAGATTGTTAATGTAATAACTGATAAACATAAGTTTAATAAAGGTTTTGCATTTAATGTCTATTTGTGAGAAAAAAAAAAAAAAGAAATTTTAATAAATATAAATATTTTTTAAGTATTAATACAATTAATTTTAAAGGAATCAATATATTATTTCTAATTAAAAAAGACTTGAAATCCATATAGCTCAAAAATATTAAATTTATATTGTATAAATTTATCTTTTTAATAATAAATAAAAAATCAACAATATAGAAAAAAAATTTATATTATAATATAAAACAGAATTTATTAATAATATTAAATTATATCAGACAAATAATAGATTCCATCTATCTTATTCTTCATCTTGACAGTAGCAACAATCTATCATTGAATGTGCATCAGGTAGTAGAACTTGCTTGTGGAATTATAACTGACATCTTCTTTATATCTAATATATATAAGTGGATTCAAGTATTTACCAAAGCTCTCACATCTTTCTACATTTCATTTGGAAACCCCGATGTAGTACAGTGAATATCACACCTACTACTGGTATCAAATGGGACAAAAATCTCAAAAGAAGAAAAAATAATAATAACAGCAACACCAACAATAATAATAACATAAATATTAATTCTATCAATACTCCTTCCAGTAATAATATCAATAATGACAACTCCAGTAAAAGTCTACCCTTCAATGACAATACCTTAACCTCAGCTTCCAACAGTATCATAATCAATATCCCAACTCTTGTTATGAAAACATTCATCCAAAGCAATTTTAATCTTCCAAAATATATATATAATCTTATTTTAACTACCATAACATTATTTTATAAAACTCTGAATAGGTATTCATAGCTGCTTGGCATCACTTATTTAATATACTAGTTTAAAATGTCTTTTCTAATAGAAGTTAAGTGATTACTGTAGGCAAGTTAGCATTTAACTTACTACAAGTCGCATATAAGAAATGTTATTTTTTTTCATAATGTATACCCTATTATATATAATAAATAAAGAAATGGTGTTTACCTATATTTAAAAAAAATATTATTATTAAATTATTAATTAGAAATTTTTTATATTCAGTAATAATAATTTTTTATCTTTAAACAATCCAAAAATAAAAAAATAATATATACTTGAAGAAATTATTAAAGTTCAAATAAAATTAATAATATCTGAAATATAATACTTATTGTTAACAATATAATTAACTTTATCAATTATAGTTTTATTGAAATTATAAATAAGAATTATACTTTATTATATTTTGAAATATTCTCTTATATAGTTTTAAATTTAAAAGCTATCAAACAAATTATCAATATTAGAAAATAATTATTTAAAAAAATATTATTAAATAACAATAGAAAAAGTTCAAAAACAAGATAAAAAAAATATTTTCAACTGTAGATTATAATAAATTATAGTAAAATTAATAAAATAAAAATTATAAATACTTTTTAATTTAATTAAAATTTAAGACTTGTGAAATCTATTTGATAGAATTATTATTTTTACAATTTTTAGCAAACTATATATTTTTTAAAAAATTTTCAAATATATTAAAATTAATTATTTAGTAGTATTAGAATTACAAATATTATTAAAAATATTTTATTAAGATTTTGAAACAAAAGTTTTGATTATTATATTAAATAAAAATCATATTTATAAATTTAAAACAATTAATTAAAAAAATATATATTAGAAAGAAAAGAAAACAAATTAATCAAGAAATTATTAAAATAATAAAATCTAGATATTTTAATTTTAAAAATAATCAAAAACAAAAATTCAAATATAAATAGATAATTTTAAATAACAATTAATAAAATCAAGATGACAAATAATTTGAAAAAAATATATTTAATATAAAAAAAAGAAATTTTATATTTGATTAAACTTATTTATCAAAAAATTTTTAAAAAACAAACAAAAATTTTTAATTTTTTTTAATAAATATTGAAAAAGAAATATAAGCTTAAATTAAAAATCCTAAATACTTAATATAGTAAATTAAAAAAGATATTGCAAAAACTTTTTAATAACAAGATTATAGGTTTATTAAAATTAAATATAAAATATTTAAAATATAGATCTTAAAGCAATAGTAATATTATGTAACTTTTATTATTTGGTTTTAAAATATAATATAATACAATTTATCTAAAAGAATAGTTTTTTTTATATTTAATATTCAAAAAAAAACAATAATAAAAAGATTTAAATAATACAAAATATATTATACTTTTTAAAGCAATATAAAAATGTTTTATTAAAATATATAATAATTACTTGGCAATAATTTATAAAAATAAAACTATTTTAAAAAATTCAATATTATAGAACTATTAAAAGAAATTATTTTAAAGTTTATTTATCTCCTAAATAATATTTATAAAGATATTAAAAAAATTTTTTTTAAGTTAGAATTTAATAATATATTAAAAAAAAAGATTATTAGATAATTTATTTTTTATATTTATAAATAAATATATATATATATTTGTAATATTTATTTATTAGTTATTAATTTACAAATAAAATTAAAAATAAAAAAAATTTTTTTAATTAAACTATATATATAATAAATAATTTTGTTTTATTTTTAAATATTTATTTTATAATATATAAACAAATAAAAAAATAGTATTTATATATTTTTTTAAAAAATAAACAAATAAAATTATTTTATTATTTAATTTTATAATTTTTTTTAATATTTAATTTTTTTATAATATTTTTTATTTTTAAGTTATATTTTTACAAAATTCTAATATTAAAAATTAAAAAAAAATTTTTTTAAAAAATATATTTTTAATCTTTGCAATATAAGAATATATACAGTATTATATATAGAGTTTATAATAATTAATTGATTGATTTTTGCTTTTTATGAATAAAACAATAAAAAAAATTTTTTTTGATTTAATAATTTATATTTACTTATAATATACAGTAAATAATAACGATAATAAAAATATTTATTTGCATATACAGTATGTGATCTTCCATTTATTTTTAGAAATAATAAAAAAATAGATTAAAAGATGTTATTTGTCACAACTAAATACAGTAAGCCATTTTGTCATTGGATATCCATCTGTGAACATTTTTCGGAAATCCAGATATGAACGTGTTGACCATCATATCCGTGTGACCATTGGACCAATATATTAAGAAGGACTGACGAAATCCATTGGTTAAAATGGTATGGCAATTCTGTACAAATATGGAGAACGAATTGGGAGTTAAATTTTACTACTGCATAACTGTCGGTTTAATGTGTATGTTTTTATCAGATCACTATATGTCAACGTGACAAAAAAGGATAATGAATGCGTATGTATTAGCTTGCAAATGGACGAACTTTACATGGGGCTGTATCAAAAAAATGTACAAACATCCGTAGATCCACAAATAGAATTCTTGAAAGGGGGCGTTATTAAAACAATAGGAGACGGTTTAATACCTTTTTTTTTTATAGGCATATTTCTTTTTTCTGATCTTGTCACAGTACACACACCAGTTTCACTAAGGTAACTGCCGACGCACACTTGTCTTCTGTACCAACAAAGGAAGCTGCAACAATCTGGACTTTGTTTCATCTATAATATGAGAATTGTAAAAAGAAGTTGACCGTCATAAGTTCTTTTCCCTCTATCAACAAGGTGATATCGGTGCATTTATAACAAGGCAGTTGCTTACGACCTACCATTGCGCCCACTTCACAGATTTCACCCACTTGAGCAACTGACCAACCCCCTATCCTTGCATGCGTGTCACTAACATGATTTGCAAATCTATGATGTAAAATTCGTTTTGGTTTTCTATAAATATCACCAGTCTTCTTAATTTTAAACAATTTTCATTTATCTATTTTATTATCTTCACTTTTAATCTTCTTAGCTTGTATTAACACTCGATATTTTATAACAAAGAATATCAAGATGACTTTAATATCCGATCAATATGTTGAACTAAATTCCTCAACCTCTCATAGATCACAAAACCACTATCTAATATCCACCCCCTCCACCTCATCAATAATGAGCGATTCTTCTGAAAGTATCAATGATCTAAACGTTCCTCACTTCTCTTATGGTTTTTCTGAAGAGCCCAATTTAGATGATTACTATCATCGATATCCTTCAGCTTCATTTAATTCATCAACTTTCATGAAAAAACGATATAACAAAAAGCAAAACACCAATTCGTCATGTTCATCAATGAAATATCCAGATTTTCCAATTAAAGCTCAGTGTCCAAGTTGCAAAAAATTTGTCACCACACAAATTCACCATAAGAATGGAAAATGTGTTTACGCATTAGCCATGGGTTTATTTGGATTAACAGTGGTATTGTTTTGGGTTCCATTCTTCGTGGATTCCTGTAAAGGTTGGTATTACCTCAGAATTTCGACCATCACGCGTAATCAATTTTTCTTATCAATTTTTCTTCTTCGTACAGATGTCTCACACAGTTGTCCAAATTGCAATGTCCATCTTGGAACACGACACCGATTATAACACCATAGCATGTTCTCTTTTACTATCTAATATAATCACATTGGCTTTTTAATAATACATTTGCGACGAAATTACCCTAATTAATATCCTTCAGAAACTAATATATTTTAACGTTTATCCTCAAACTAGATTTAATTATTTATCTCCGTGGTGTACAATCGATTCTTCATTTACATAACATCCATAATTCATATACAGTATGTTTTCCATATAAGATCTAACTCAACAAAATCCGAATTCCTCTAAAAAAAAAACTTTCACTTATTATCAAAGACATTTTTGTAATATAAAATCATGACTTTAAAAGTATTTTATTTGAATCAAAGACGTTATTCTCCTTATTGGAAAAAACCCACACCCTTTTGCTCATTATTTCACACACATAATTCACCGTCTACTTTAGAGAATCACCTTTTTTATTATACAAAAAGGAAATTTTCTAATTACTCTAGTTTCATCAAGTTCACTTCGGTTTGACTGGTAAAAATGGTAGACAAAACGAATATCAACCAGCCAAATATTAAAGTTTCTGGTCGATCAACGCATGAGAGTAGTTCAAACTTGGGTGAATTTATATACAGTATATATAATCAATAAGCTTATTGTGGAAATTACATTTCTATGTACAAATAGATTATAATCGTAGATTTAAAAAACAAAAATCAATTAATATTGTAATTGAATAATATCTTCAATTAATTAAAAAATAAAGAACTTTCAATGACGTCCATAAAGAAATTATCTGTGCTCTCAAGATTAGCTATAGTGAGATGCCAATTTTATTATTATAAATTGTTTATCGGTTACTACATACATTGCCCATATGAAACTTACCAAGGTTAAAATGAACGTGAATTATGTCAGATTTACGATAAGGTAATGTATAAAAAGTGACATTACCCGACTACAACTAGTGCAATTCCCAGAAGGATTGGAACCGTTCTTTTCGAATGAAAATTTTGTTAATTTGAATTAATACAGTATATTTAATTAATTTATATATATATATAATTTTAATAATTAATTATTATTATTATTTCGTAAATACAGTGGCTCGCAAAAGAAATGCGACACTAAGTCTAAAATCATAAATTAATTTATCTCTTTAATAAGGCACGTTTTTAAGTAAAGTTAGTTTCATTAGACTTTATCATATTATAAGTTACAAAAAATATTAATTTTATTTGATCATAAATATAAAGTTGAAAAAATATTTACTGTAGAATCAATTTAAGTGCTTTTGTGATTTTTCAATCAATTTAATATATCGTGGAAAAAAATTTTTTGTTTACATTTATTTTGTATATAAAAAGATTCTCTTATTGAATAAGTACTATACAAGTGGTGAAATTGAATTTGGACATTTTTCAAAAATCATATTATAATAAAATTACTAAGTAATATATAGTAAATAATTGGATATTATATTAATTAAATTTCCTTTTATAATAATACAAAATCATGTATAATAAATACCTTTTGAAAAATATATCTCAATTATTTACTGAAAAATAAGTATAAATTTTTATCCTTCTTGAAGAAAATTATTATTTATCTAGTTTTATTACTACAAAAGAAAATATTCATAAGTTTATAGTTTTGAGAATTTGTTAATATAAAGAAAAAATTGATAGTTTTAAAAACAAACCTAAATTAAGTCATCTTCATATCTTTTCTATCCATATTAAATGAAAAATTCTTTGGCTTATTGCTTAAATTAGTATTCTATAGTAATTAATATTCAAAATTAATTAAAAAATTTTAAAAATATTTATATTTTTACAGATATTATATATAAAATATTTAAAAAAAATGATTTAATATTAAGAATTAAAATAAAAAATCTTATTTCCAAAAAATACATTGAATTTGTTATTTTATAATTATACAAAAATATTAAAATTAGATTTTTAATAATTGAAAAAAAGTAATATAATCTAATAAAAACAAATTTATGTTTTTTTAATTAGGTGGTTATTTATATTATTAAAAAAATCTAAACAAATTATCAAGAAGTTCATATATCAAGTAAATAGTCAAATTTGAAAGTAAAAATATTATAGACTAGGATGTTTTATTTTATATGGAACTAAAAATTTTTATTGAATTAAAGATAGTTTATATAATAAGTTTTATTATAAATTTTTAATAAAAATTTATAAAAATACTTTTTAATTTAGATTTAAATATCAAAAAAATATCATTATTCAATATAACAATAATTCCAAATATATAGTAAACTTTATTAATAATTGATAAACAAATATATAAGTATGGATTTACAATTTTTTTTTAATTATTTAAAATTTGATTTTCAAAGTTATATAAATAATATAATGGCTAAAATTCAATTAAAATATTATAATTTTAGTCTAAATAATTATATTAGCAAAATTTATGATACTGATATATTTTGATTTTGCAAATTAAATATTACATATAATTAATAAAATATTTTTTATAATTGTTGGATCCATTGTTTGTTTTAATATAACTTTTTCAAATAATATTATCATGGCAATATTTATTATTTTCATATATTGTTTGACCTTAAGAAAATTAAAAATTTTAGTTTATTATCTTTTTTTAATTATAATTTAATAATATTATTTAATATATTTAAAAAAAAATTTTTATATTTTTTGATTTTTTTAGATGACCTACCCGGTTATAGTCCAGTAGGCTAAGGCAGGGTAAGGCTAACCCATGACCCACGGTTCAACTCCAGCTGGGGGACAATTCACATATCCCAAAAAGAGACTTTGTATCACTGCTCCTGTAACTCGTAATAGAGAGCGATTTGGATTGTTCCGGCGATCAGGGAGCCTTATGGGTAGATTACACCTCATAGGTCGAAAGATAGATGATCTGATTGGTAAACTTTCTGATTAAGTATTACCTGGGAAATACTTTTAAAAGGGGGAAGAAGTTTCATGAGATCTTTCCGGTAGCGGAAAGAAAGGTACAGATGGCTAAAACCATTAGTCGCACAACTATCAGTAGGAGTTTCACATGTCCAATGGTAGCGAGGATCTGGTCGGGGGTGCAGAAGGTTGCTTGTATCACGGGATGTTCTATTCTAAGGGGTACACTTGCGACGGTTGACTGCATGACCCTATAAAACGTAACCCCCCACATGTGTTGCTAGGCTAGATTAGGAAGGGTGAGGCTGGGTCCGATTTCCAGACGGATTTGGTGTACTGGTGTACCCTCATCCTGTCAATGATATCTCGCTGACTAAACCCTAGTAAGTCTTGGCTAAACTGAACAGTTGAAATACTGTAGCCGGTGACTGCAGGCATTGATCGTCAAGGCAGATAGCAAGGCCTGCTTGTCTTGATGTAGCACTTATTCACCTCCACCATCTATACTTAGAGACTTAGGCCTAAGACGAGTTAGTAGGACCGACCTTTACCCATGTACCTTGGAGAAACACCAGGAAACTGGCAAGGTGATCAGAGGTATCTGCGCTGACAGCAATAGATTAAACAAAAAAAAATATATATTTTTTGGTTTTTTTATTTTTAAATATATAGTAATACAGTATCTATAATTTTTTGGAAATTTTTTTAAAAAATTAAAAATAATAATATTATTTAATAAATATTAATCTAAAAAATATATACTGTATAGATTTAATATAAATATTTTAGTATTAATAAATAATTTTAATTAAAATATTTTATATTCAATATCTTACTCAAGTTGAATTTACAGACGGCGATCATTATTATGCGGACATTTTTTTTTATTAAATTTAATAAAAAAATAAAATAAAATAATTATTTA